GGAGGACAGGGCTAGTTTAGTATTTTAATTTTTAAAGAAATAAATATGAGCATTATCTTAGAAAAATACAGTGACTTGGCTGGCACTTCAACTACCTGTGTAGTCATTACTTCATAATAAAGAATGTTGACATCAAGTACAATCTAGAGAAATACAGTATTACATTGCATACAAAGAGAAGTTAATATAAAACTAGAATCTCTACTAATGGCTGATGAAAGTGCTCCCAAAATTGATATGAACGAATAAATGATTTGGAGACTGAGGTTTTGGTTGGCATGAAAACTTGAGAAGATTCTTGTGGTGCATGAACATTTTAGAAATGTCAACTTTCTGAGGTTTTTTTGCTTTGAATATTATATGACATCTTAATAAGCATGAGATGACTTAATATATGAGATAGGCTGTAAAAAAATGCTATGAGGGATTATAAAAAAGCAGTATTTATTCAACTGTATAAGTGGGTTTTAAAAAAAACATTGTCAATTAAATTCTAATTAAAACAAATATTTGCCTTCTTTTAAAACAGTCAAAATACTTAAAACTCTGAATTTCTTTTATAACATTTTTGAAACCACACCCCATTTTAAGTGATCAAAAATCTCATAGGATTTGGACGTCTTTCTTGTGCTGGAGTTCAACAACATTTAGAACCATAAGACCCTCTTCACCCTCTAGATTCAGGCAAAATTTCTCTAGATCCTCTTTATTTCATTATTTTCTATATTTTGTGTTATTAGTATTTAAAATGATTGTCCACATTGTACATTAATTGGACATTAATATGTAAACAGTTTTTCAATATTGGATTGTATTATATTTAAGAAGGATCACATGGGAATTGAGGAGGTTTGTATATTTAGAAATGGCATAAAAATGTGCCAGAACATATTTTTGTTTCCAGTTAACATAGTACTTAGTCACGTATCTAACCCTAAACAAACAATAGTTGGGCCCATTGATGTGAACAGAACTATTCATGAGCTTAAAGTTAAGCAAATGCATAAGTGCTTCGCTGGATCAGGGCCACAGCGCTTAGTTATTAAAATACTATCCAACATAATTTAAATATTTGCATTAAATAATTATGCACTTATTTTTAGCAGCATGTATATAATTCTGTATTGGATTATAATAGTAATGCAATAGTTATTGGAAAACATTTTTAACAGCTAAATCCTATTCATCGGGATGTAGCACTCAACTGTGTGCCTGTAAACCAGGGTTTTTTCCAAATGGATGAAGAGTTCTGAAACACTGTTATCAATGTGTAATATGCAGGTGAGCTAAGGTATGACTGGTTGAGCTTCTTTGATGTCAGTCCTGCCCAACCTTCACCCTTCCAATGCTAATTAGCTATTTTGGAATTGAACTGGAGCAATATTTAAGGTATTATTCACACTTTTCCAGTATGTTTCTATTAGAAAAAATTGCAGAAAGAATATACATGCAAGAGTGCTAATAGCAAAAGATGCTTCCTCTGCCTGAAGAAGGGTGTTTGTACCCAAAAGCTTGCAAAGATAAATTTTTCCAACTATTTTAGTTGGTCTTATAAAAGATATCAGATTTACCCAAAGAACCTTGTCTGCCTATATCCTTAGACCAACATGGCTACAACCAATATCCCTAATGGCAAAAGGGGTTTTTGTGTGTGTCTAACTTTGATAGGCACATAATTTCATGTTAAAATGCCCAAAACAGAACGAGACACAATTCTGAGTTCTAATGATATTAAACACTTATGCTTTGCCCTCCCTGGATCTTAGAAAATGGCTGGATCTGTGTAGTTCATAGTATCCTCTAGCTCTGTTTATACGTATATAACGTGTCTTATACATATATGAACAAACACATCAAAAGTATTCAGATTTTATTTGGAACAATGTGTCAACAATTATGTAGGTGAAGAGTAAAATAAATATTAGTCCTACATAGTCAGGTTATTTGTGCAAATCAAATAAAACGAACAAACCCCTCAACCTATAACAAAAGTGACCTGCTGTGTCAGTACTAAAGCAAACTGTTGCCTGACCCCTAAAGTGTTCACTCAAGTAAAAATCCTCATGAAGTCAACAGGAGTTGTGCTTGAGTAAAGAGGTCAAATTAGGCCAGCAATTATGTTCCAGAATATAGGCACACCTTCAGCAAGGTATTGAAGCATGTGAATAGCTTATTCAAGCCTATAGGACTCCTCATATGCCTAACCTGGTAAAGTGCCTTTGCTGGACAGGGATCCTAAACTAAGCATAATGGTGAGTGATCTGTATTTGATTACACATTTCCAACTGACTATAATGGCAGGTAGATGTGATTGTTATATTTAATGCTTTGTAACATTTATAGTATATAGTAGAAAATGCATTAAAGCACTGTCACCCTCTCAGTGGATAAATGGATAAAAGCTTTATGTTCTGGTCCAGAACAAGTGTAACTTATTTTACAGGAAAGGAGAATTTGAAAGTCTTTTCTTTCACATGGAAATAAAGATTATTAGCTGAAGAAAACATATTCCACTTTTGATTACTATAGAAGCAACCTTTTAGTCAGGACAGATAAAAAGGCCCTGATAGAATTTAACAACAGAGGTATCTTCTAATGCCTGAAAAAATGCCTAAATCTGTATAAAAATAAATATATATCACAATAATGACTAAAAAAAGTGGTCAACAGAACTATTTCTCTTTTGTGAAATGAAAGAAAAAAAAAGCTATTTAGCCCTTAATTACATTTCTTACTTTCAAAAAATAGCTGTTTAAAGTTGCAATGCAATTAGCATTTAAGGAATTTAAAAATATGCAAATATAGCAAATATGTAGCGCTAATCAGGAACTAAGGAATAGGCAGTCTGGAACCAGTTAGTCTGGATGAATCTAATGATTTCAACCACTTTCCTGCCACAAACCTTTTATGCTTGTGTTCTGTGAGAACATTAATCAAAGCTCGAAGAGCCTTTTTCTTCCATGGGGACAGAATTCCTAACAGGGGCCTTCTGCAGTGATCAGTCTCCAACTGACTACAAATTATCAATACTGATTACCAGATTGCTGCAATGGGGAGGGGATGGCGTGTTCAGCACTGCAGGGCTGGCCAGACTCCCACAGCTCTTGTCTCAGTCTATTTGCATATACAGCTGTCTCATGCCTTTTTCCCAGGGGTACCAGTGCCAGGTTAGAATCTCTGCCATCCCCACTGATCACTTCTCAGATCAAGGAAACTGTATCAGTTTCTTTTTTTGAAATACTGTAGAGCTAGTATTGGAAACATTCAGGTTAACTTTGAACAAATGCTCAAGATTGAAACAGGATTATTGTCAAAGAGATCCCACACTGAGTGTTCATATACATGGCATTTGTTTTTTTTTAGAAGGAGACACCATAGTTTAAACATCTCCCTCATTATTTTGTGCCATGTGTGTGAGCATAATAGGAAACTGTTTTGATATCTTGATTTCTAATGTTTCATCCATGTTTTGTTCCGCTCCACCAAAAGAATCGGACAGAAATTTGCTGATGTTTGGATCCTTTTGAAAGCCAGACTTGCTGGCTAATGCATTTCGATCCTTTCCACACCCTGCACTGCAATTCCTAGTTCTCCACCCATTTCCACCATACAGCAGTTAATCGCAGTCTCAGTTAAACAAAGGGGTGGGGGTCTTGCTAGTGCCTCTTAGGTTAGCCTCACATCATGGTAACTCCCCAGAAGGTCCAGAAAATTAATTTAAATCAGCCTTCTTGTGTGTGTGTGTGTGTGTGTGTGTGTGTGTGTGTGTGTGTGTGTGTGTGTGTGTGTGTGTGTGTGTGTGTGTGTGTGTGTGCACACGCGCGCTGGGGGTGGGGGGAGGAGGCCAGAAGATAAGGTGTTTTGCTGCTCCCCATAATCAAAGACTGCAGTCATGGATCTTTCAGGGTTCTGCCACTGTAATTATTGGCCACCTCGCCCTCCTTTTCAGGCACCAAAGGAGGAGGAAAGATGGGGGCAAAAGCATGAGCATTAGACATTCAAAGGGCTAGAGAGAGTGGGTGTGCAGGGTTGGGTGGGGCTGCTGAGTTTACACAGAGGATTTGCTCTCAGGACACAAACCAGACTGCTTGGAGGCTCCACACTGAAGACAAAAGAAGGGTGGAGAGGCTGCTGCCTGGTCTACAAAAACACCCCGACACGAAGGGAGACAGGAAGAGCCAGTGACCTACTTTCCCTTGGTCCTGCCAGCAGCAGGCTCAGCCCCCATGCTGGAACAACAGGGGATTCTTGGACTTGTCCCGGCTGTGTTCAGCCTTTGCTTGGCTGCTTACCTCCACCCCCTCCCAGCCTCCCCTTCTGCGTTTCTGCGGGGACCGGGCAGATTTCCTGGCCCCTGGGCGAGGGCTCCTCGGGTACCGGCGAGGAGGCGGCAGCAGCAGTCGTATGGGTGGGGTCCGTCTGCAGTGTGCCGGGCGGCTGGCGCTGGGCTCTGCGGGGGCCCTCCCCCTCCCCCCGGGCAGTCCTGGGGCAGCGGCGCAGCCCGGCACAAAGCCCCCCGCCCGCACACAAAGACCCCGGCCCGGCGCCCGGCCTCCCGAGCCGCTCGGCTCCCCTTTGCAGCTGCTTTTCTGATCACGCATTCAAACACTGTCTTTAGGGACGAGCAGAAAGGCAGGGATCGGGGCTCGCAAGCAGGACCCAGGGCAGAAGAGCAGAGCTAACTTCCCTGTTTTCGAGTGGCACCGAAGAAAAGAAAAATAAGACGCTTTAACATCAACCCCTACCTCCCCGCTTGAAATGAGTGTCCAGCTGACATGGCCGAAGCTCCCCAGGGGCAGATCTTTGGGTGGACTTCAAAAGATCCGCAGGCTCCCACCCCCACTCCACCTCCTTTCCTTTTGTTTTTTAATTGGAAAAAAGAGGAAAAGACTTAAACCCATATGTTTAGCATCGTCTTGGTTTTTTTTTTAAACACGTAAGTAGAGCTGACAGTCCTAGGAAATTGCATTGGCTGAAGAAAAAGAGATGTGGTTTCTTACCCATTGCTGTTTTAGCCATGGTGGGATGTGCGGATTCTCAGAGGTGGTGAAGGCAAAGGGCTCCAGCTACAGCAGTGGAGAGAGAGAGAAGACTGAATAAGGCACTGAGTCAGCAGAGTGGGGCTGTGCAAGAGAAGGAGCAAGAGGCAGGAGCCCATGAATAATTATCACTCCTCCACCCAAGCAGATTGGCTCTAGAGGTCCCCTGACATGACTCCTGCAGAGCCACAGTCTCCAAGCATTAAATATTGATCCGCCAATGGTGCTGGAGGACAAAGTGCCAGAATGCAGTTTGAAATGGAAATCAGCCCTTGAACGCCTCTCCCCCCCGGCTGTACTGCGAGTAGTACAGTCCATGTCAAATGTTTTATGTCTTACATGAAAAAGCCTATTGGTGTTGAAAGCTCTGCTGTTGCTATCTGTAAAACATGCCCAAATGCATTTCTAACAATTTTTTATTGTACGGGTAGGACAAAGGGAGGAAGGCTTCCCCCCTTCCCCAAATCATTTTAACAACCACAGTTCTTTTAATTATTTCCTTTATTTTTCCTCTGACCCATAACGTTATTGTTCATTGATGGTCACCACGCGTGGCTGGGCTGCAAGTTTTTGCTTTTTAAGATTTATGTTATATTTTCCTGCCTCATCCGACACATGCAGTGGTAAAACCCAGAGAATGACAGCTGTCCTAATTAGTATCTATACAGGGCTCTAGAAAACGAAAAAGCAGGATAAATGTAAAAATAAATAAATCAATGATTGTGGCAATAGCTCCTCTCTTCTGTAATGTCAGAAAACCAGTGGGAACCTGGATAACCTGCCCTGCGCACAAATAACATCTGGAAGAAGATTGCTTCAGGCTTGAGGTATTAGGAGATATTTATCATAAGCGTCATCGTTAAAGCATGGCAAGGAAAAATCATCTTTGCGACAGAGAAGTGGGGTGAGAGGAAAGAGGTGAGGTGGAAAAGTGCTTCCTCTTGTGCTCATAGGAAAACCAATGAAATGGTTGGCAACAACTTAATGTGTGCAGTGATTTGGAAGGTATGGGTGGAAATGTGGTTTCACCCTAATATATTTTCTATTATAGTTATGGCGAAAAATCTTTGCCTGGGTGTTGGCAGCATACAAAGCAGGGCATACGGGATTAAGAGACAGCAAGACCATCATATTATCTTTTGCTGGACTTTAATAAGCCAAAATGCTCTCTCCTAAACAAATGTACCCTGTATTTCCTCTCCCAAAGATAGGTACTCTTGCTTTACTCATCATGAGAAGCTACCTATGGCCCATACTGTTAGAGACACCTAGCAAATTCCCAGTTTAGAACAAAGGACTTTTGGAAAATGGTCCCTGGGGCCAATCCAAGGCCTGTCTGTATGTAGGGGTGTGTGTGTGTGTGTGTGTGTGTGTGTGTGTGTGTGTGTGAGAGAGAGAGAGAAAGAGAGAGAGCAGAGATATGCAACATAATATTTTTTCCGTAGCATAACAGAAATACGACTCCCTTTCCTCCAGATATGCTAGTCTTCCACATTTTCCACTCTTCCATAACTGAGTAGAATTTCCTTTTATTAAACAAAGGTCCAGTGTCACCACTCAGCACAGAAAAGGCAGCAGCGTGATTACGCTTCTCTCTCCCTTATCCTGGTTAATAAACTAGGACATTGTTTGCTAAGGCAGGGTCCAGAGGATGAAAGTGTGGACAGCATTTTCATTGGCATTATGCTTGCCATTTTTGATCTGTAGGGTGTTCTTTAAGCAGAGAACGAGCCTCTGAAAGTAGCTTGGGGAGAGAAAACTCCATGGAGTTTTCATTTTGCATTCTCAAATGCAGAGCTTGGGCGTGGGCTGTGTGCATTTCCAGCAGCAAGGACATAATGCAGCATGGAGGATGTTGAGATGGCTCCTTGCTAAAGCAGTTTTCTCTTTTCAGGCTATGGCAGGATGAAGGACCTGGTTGGGAGGTGAGAGAGTGAGCCCAGCCCAGTGCTTCTCAGCCTCACAACCAACCAACCTGCCGGCTGCCTTATCCAGCTGTGCAAGCCGTTCATAGGGACGGTGTTCAAGGGGCATGATGTGGGGGGCGAGGGCTACACGGAAGAAGGCAGGGATCTTGGAGGCGGAGAGAGAGAGTGCTAGTGGGGAAGCTGAGTGGAAGTGGGGGAGTTTTTAGAGTGAGGAACCTGAGGAGGGTTGGGCGGGAAGCAGAGCCTCACAGGGACTTAGTGAAAAAGCCAGACGCTCTCGCTTTGTGCACCCAGTTGCCCTTGCCCCCTGCACGACTCCCCCCAAGCCCCAAGCTGGGGCCCAGGCGGCTTCCTGCCCACGGCCGCTGTCCCCGCATTCAGCAGGGAGGCGGGAGCTGTCCGCTGTGCTGAACCCGGGCGCTCCCCACCGCTCAGGGGCGTGGCGGGGGGAGCGCGCCCCGCAGGCGCTGAAGCGGCGGGAGATGGGGAGGATCAATCCTCTGATCAGCGTTTGCTGCCATACAGGGGCCGGGTCAAGGCTGCAAGATGCAGTGTCTCAGCTCCCCCCAGCAGCACCGCTGACCCGCCCGGGCTGCCCCACCCCGCCGCCCCAGAGGAACTCGGCTGCCTCTGAGCAGCTGGGAAAGCTCCAGGCTGGGAGACCGGGGCGGACCCGCGTTGTGCAGGGAATGGGTAGCTTCCTCCACCCCATCCTCTCTGCGTCCCTTGGGCCCTTGGCTTGCCTGGCCACCATCGGTGGAGCGGGGAGCTCAGAGCCAACAGCTGCAAGGCAGAGATGGGGAAGCGCAGTCAGACGCAGAGATCTTCTTTCCATCGCAGCTGCTTTGCAAGCAACCCCGTCCTCCCCACCCTTTCCATTGCGGAGCGAGTTAATGCTGTAGAATAACAGGTTGCTTCATGATGTTGTCATGGCGTGAAGAGAAAAGCTGGCTGCCTCGAGGGGTTGGAAAGGGCAGGGGCATGGGGCGCGGGAGAGATTTCGATGCCAGGAAACCGGTGCAAGAAATGACACGCCGATCACTGTCACTTCAAGCCCTTGGCAAGAGAATTATTTCTGGGGAGTAGGTCTGAGCACTCATTTCCGATCCGCAGCCCTTTCTTATAGGTAATTTAACATGAGTCTTAGGGGAAACTGATTAAGCATCAGGATTTCAGTGCCCACCCCAGGGATTTGTTTTCTGTGATGTGTGGACCAAAGGATGTGGCTTGCTAAAGCTCTTCATTCATAGCACCCTGTCTTTTTTTTTGGCCTGGTTCCTTACACTCAGCCTGCATCTTGGTTTATGAATGGGCATGGTGGACAGATTTGTTTCTGAATGAGATACTCCTTAATTACTTCCAGCAGGCTGCAGGGCCATGGTCTCAGAACAAGACTCTCTGATCCTGGCTTTTTGTCATAGGCTTCTGTGGTTCTGGCCATATCACTGAACCTTTTTCTTTTCTCTCTCTCTCTCTCTCTCTTGCTCTCTTTTTCAGTTTTCTCACCTGCTAGATGGAATAATATTATTTGCACCCTTGGGATGTGTTGAGAAGATGAATGTTAGTTCAGGACTGTAAGAAAATGGGTGCTATAAAAGATCTGAGTATTATTATATAGTGAAATCTTAGAAATTAAGACATGGAACAGACTGCTAGTAGGGCATTTAGTTCATTGCTTTACCATTGCTGAGTGTTCTTCAGGGTTTTGTCTATTCTAGTTAAATAACTCAGGAAAAGAGGCTCTCATGGCTTATTTTTGGGCAACATTTCCACAGATGAATAACTGTCACTATTAAGCATTATGGACCTTCTTCACAGCAGTTTAAAATTTCCTTTAGTCATTTTTAATTATTCTTAGGCCTTCTCAAATTATTTTTCTTGTCTACTCAATCTTAACCAATGTATTTGAAATTCCTTAACTATTAGTCTATTTTAATCTATTGCATACTAAAACTATATTAAAGGAACATTGCTAAGGGGGCACAATCAAATATTAAAAAGTTAAAAAATTCCAGGGTGAAGATTGCTTCTGAAACTTTAATTCAGCTCCCCAATGGATTTGAATTTTGATACTGTCTTTAATAACATTATCACATACCTTTTTTCCTCTGGATCTCTGACCTGGTTAGAACACAGAGCAGACAGCTTTCACTTAATGGGAAGCTAGTCAGTATTTTTTCTTCTTGTGTTTTATTTTTCTGTTATGTGACCCCATGTGTTGTTAACTACACCCCATTTAAATCCCGCTGTGGAGACATAACGGTTAATTTCTTCACTACATTCATCACAAAAAAGTATTTACTTTCCAAATATTAATAAATCAATTTTCAAAGTGCTTGATGAGGTGAAAGTGTAGGATTATCCCACTTGCATACATGAAAAACTAAAATTCAGAGAGAGTAAGATCACAAGGTTCAACTAATTTTGATTGCTTAAATTTGAGGTAGTTTGAACCCAATTTTTCAGAGTAAATTGTAATGTATAGCAGTTAGTATATTCAAAGCACAGCTCCCCTGATTACAGATGCAGCTGTGCATGCACAGCACTTCTGTAAGTTAGAATTGGTCACAAGTCAGAAGTTGACTCAAGTCAAGAAACAGAGGAACACACAGTTAGAGGCCACCTCTGAAAAATTTACTGTAGGTGACTTGCTCAGTGGGCACATCTACACATGCATTAATGTGCCATAATTATGGCACATTAAGTTTAATACCTGTGGGCATTTATACACATACTTTTTCATCCTGTAACACACTGGAGATCCGCTGCTTTGGAGCTGCTTGTTTGTCACTAGAGATCCGCTGCTTGTGTGTCACACAAGCTGACACACACGTGCAGTTGTGTAAGTGGTGAAATGCATGTCAGCATGCAGAAAATAGTGGCGGTGCACTTTTGAACTAAAGCACCTCCCATGTATTTTAGTTCAAAAGTGCACCACTGCCATTTTCTCAGTACTGACACGCATTTTGCCACTTATACAACTGCAAGCATCGCAGTGCTGGGCGCTTGCATGTGTAAAAATGCCTAGAAATAATAGGTACTAACTTAATGTGCTGTAATCAGCACTACTGTGCAGTAGCACCAACACATGTTTTTTACATGACGCTAATGTGCAGTAGATTAATTTTATTGTGCATTAGTACATAAGAACGGTTTTCAC